GCCTATATTTGTTAGACTTGGTTTTCTTATTTTACACGGCACCTTGTTTTGGAAAGTTGGTCTCTGTGGAAGAAAGTCATGTATCGTGGGCAATTAGGACATGCAATACAAGGCCATTTCACAAGAGGAAAAAGACTCAACCAAGTTGACAGCTGATAATTGACCACATGTGTGTGTGTCATCTCCAGTGGTGGATTGCCAAACAAATTTATTGTAGAATTCTCATATAAACCCACATGACAAATACCCAGCAGCCATGAAGCTTCACTTTTGGTTAACATATTTGACTTTTGCAACCTCAAAAAGAGCCCAAAATAGCCATCATGCATGCATGTCAAATCTTAAATGGAATTCAAGGATTAGCACAACTCAGCCTCTACTTAAATTCAACTCTGTTAGAAATGGGGTATGCAATGGTAAATATAGTGGTGCACCTTCAATTCATCTTGCGTATTTTACATAACGATACAAATGAGTGACAAGATCATTAGAACAATAATAATAAATAAGATCACCTGGGCTGGTTCTTCAATATTTACTTTGATTCAGGCGATTTACAATGCGCCCACCACTTGTTCAATCAAATTCCCGAACCAGACCTGCGTGCATGGACCTTTGCTAATATCATCCCAAACACGACATGAGTTTTCCTCAGAGAATCCAGAAAGCTTTACACTTCATTGAGAGTTCGGAAAATTGTTACCCATAATCTTCTACTTCCATTGGTTGTTAAAGCGTGTGTGGCGCCAAATTTCTTTAGATGAGGGTCCCTCTTGGGTCTCCTCTCTCCTATGCGCTGATGTATTAACTGCTTTCCTTCCCACTGAAATTCGATCGTATTCTCAAAGAATGAAAAGAAAAGAAACACTTTGTTTTCATCTTTTACTGTTATCAGTGTTCATTCTAAGATTTGTGCATCAGGAAATGACTAATGAAAAAAAAAAAATCAATTGGACTGCAATGTGAATTTCAACAAACGTAAAATTACCTAAATGGATGAAGTCTCACACATTATTCACAATTCACACATTTTCTGGTTGTTAAATATCATTACTTACAGCATACCTTGGGGGAGTAGAACAGAGTAAAAGAAAATGAACGGCAAAGCAAAGCAAAGCTCCAAACCAACTTCTAATTCAACACATTTTTCTTGCATAACATGAATAATGATAATGTCTCATATCATTGTCTCCCACCTAAGACTACAAGCATCAAGTCAATCTGCCAAACACATTCTGTGAGGACAGACAGAACCATCAACAAAGCACCCAGAACAAAAATCTACCGAGCCTCGATCACTGTAGTGCTGAAATAATTCGCTGAAAACGGGCGCTTCCTTGATGGTGATTCAGGGACACTTCGTTCAGTGTAAAAGCCAGGCTGCTTTGGTGGAGGCAAAGTAATATCACTGCTCAACATTAGAACCACATATGACATGTTTGGTCTATCTTCTGCTACTCTTTGCACACATAACAGCCCCACATGAAGACACCTTAACACTTCAGATATGGTGCACGAATCATATAACGTCTTATCTATCAATTCCAGTTGTTTATCTTGAATCCATAGTGTCCATGCCTTGAACAAATTGAAACACAAATGAGATGTTAGTAGGATGATGTAATTAGAGCAATGCTACATACCGTCTATACTGGTATATGGCATGTCATTGGAGAAAGTGCTTAGAAGATTGCACCGTCTAATTCGCTAGTTTCTTCAAAGTAAAATGATAGTACTTAATGCTTTATACTCACATGTCCAAGAAGGTTAAGGTGGTGATCTGGATGAGAAAATCCCCTGTTCTTCTTCCTACTCAACATCTCTAGCAGTATAACTCCAAAGCTAAAGACATCAGATTTCATTGAAAAAATTCCATCTACTGCATATTCGGGAGACATGTAACCACTACACAATCAAGTTTCGGTCAGTAAGAATTCAACAAAAACAACACAATGTAAAATGTAAACCATAGAAAATATACTTACTACGTTCCAACCACTCTTTTTGTATTACCCCGACTTTGATCACTTTCAAATGTTTTAGCGAGGCCGAAGTCTGAAATCTTAGGGTTCATATCAGTATCAAGCAGGATATTGCTAGCTTTCAAATCTCTGTGGATAATCCTTAATCTAGAATCTTGGTGAAGATAAAGAAGCCCTCTAGCAATTCCACCAATAATGTGGAAGCACATAGGCCAGTCAAGCAATTTTTGTCCTTCTTGATCTGAAGAAAATTTGAGACTGTTAACTCAACGCAACATTGAATCCTTGTAGAATAACATTAAAAGCCATATGGTTGGCATCAGAGAGGACCATACCAAAAATAAAGAAGTCCAAGCTTTTGTTGGGCATGAATTCATATATCAAGATTTTTTCCTCTTCTTGAACGCAACAACCCAAGAGCTTTACAAGATTGCGGTGCTGAAGTCTTGCTATCAGTATAACTTCATTTTTGAACTCTATAATTCCTTGTCCGGAATTCTTCGAAAGCCTTTTCACTGCAATTTTTTTCCCTCCTATCAATGTACCCTGTGGATCATCATTTATAAAAGCCTTACAACTTGTATCACAGAGTAGCTCACTTTCGATGCATAAATTTATGTTACCTTGTACACAGGTCCAAAACCACCTTCTCCCAGCTTGTTGCTGCTTGAAAAGTCATTAGTGGCTTTAGCTAGGGTGGACAAATCAAATAATGGTAACTCCATGTCTTCCCTGTCTTCTCCAAGGTAATCTTTTCTGACTCCTGAAATTGTTGGTAGATCTTCAGCATGGATAAATAGATGTGTAAGAATTCTATTGGTTAATCAATTGGTCAAATCACCATATGCCATGTGTCACCATTTAATTGGTTCGATGCTTTACCCTAAACCAAATCTTGGAACACAAGAAAATCACACTATCGAAATTAAATACTAATAATCTAATGCATAATTCATAGTCGAGATACTTTGGTCCATGTTGAGATATTTACCTTGATTTCTGAGTTTCCTCTTTCGTATATACAACATCAATCCAATTATAAACCAGACAAGAAAAACTGCAGAGCCGATGAGTATTCCGGGTAGCTTTTTCTTCTTGAAAGTGCTCTTTCTCTCAATTCTATCTGAAATATTATAATTAAACAGAATCTTCATGCAATTTTCTCATGTTAAAGTAATTGTGAATCTAAAACCAACTTATTTTAGCTATACTTTGCCTAACTGCAGATGAAGCAGCAAGGCCAACCCAGGAAATCTCCACCATTTGTGGTTTTCATGCTATTACCGTTAGGTAGAAGA